TCCTTTTTTATTTCTTCCCTTCCGTTTTAGTGAGAGCCCTGACGGCTTTCGCTTTGCCAGGTAAACTTGACGCTACAATCTTTTATGGCAATCTTTGTCGACATTTAATCGTAAAACCCTTTTGCCCTCATTTTTGGATTTCATCCCAATTTTATAAAAACGACATCTTTATGCATTTTGTTTCTTCTTCTTCTTGAATTAAGTTTACATGTGTTTTGTCTGCGTGCTGTTTGTGTAGGAAATGGCAAGTTTAGTTGAGAGGCTTCGCGTTCGATCAGATCGGAGGCCTCTATACAATGTAGATGATTCCGACGATGAGTTTGATTTCACGAGGAAAAAATCCGGAACGGACAAAATCGAGAAAATTGAACGGCCTGATGTGGTAATTCGTGGGGCAGTTTCTGATACCTGCTGCGAGTTTACTCTTTTGACTCCTTTTTGACTCTCATTTTCTCTCCTCACTCACTGTCAATTTTCTGTGTGGGCACCCATATACGTACCTGCTATGCATGTTAAGCGCTTACAAGTTGGCTAACAAGTTGATTTGTGTTCTGTTTCCTTCTCCTACAACTTTATGAAGCCAAATACTTTTTGAAGATTGAAATGTTCCTGACTTTCTGGTTTATGTTGCTCTATTTTTCTCCACAACTAGTAAGATTTTTATTGTGCATTGTTTTGATCGTTTGCATGGTTGTTTGGGCTGCTGGTTTATTTATGTATTTGCTCCTATGGTTTATCTATTATTTACTTTGACTTGTTTTGGGCCAATTTATGGAGGCACCGAATATCAAAATATTTCAACGATGCGTAACTAGTTTTGGTTGTACACACATATGTATATTGGTGTAATGTGCTTGCCATGTTAGACACGTTTCCTTGGAAGCTTTGGCTGAGAAGCTACTATTTCCTCTCCGGAGGTCTAGTATTAAGAAGCGGACAGGAAGCTTCTTTAAAGCGGGTCGTAGGTTATAGCGAGTCACCTACGTTTTCCTTTTTCATCCTTTTTTTGGGTATCAAATTGATGACAGGGAAGCGACATTTAATCAAGACTTTCATGTATCTTTTTTGTCCAAATTTAACACGTAACCTAGAGAAACGGAATAAACCAACTTCATTCAGAATCAGATTTTATGCGGGCGCCAAAATTTAATATGATGATTAAATGGTACTATGTAACTCTTTCATGAATCCAAGAAAATAAGTAGTGATGTCAAATGATATGTACGTTTTTGCTATCAATATCTGGACAATTGGAAGTTAGGTTTTAGTATCTAAAGACAATGGATTTCCAATTTATTTAACATCCCATAATTTTTAATAGTTAAACCCACTTCCACATTCTGCGACTTTATGGAGGAAAAGAGTTATATAGTTGTTTTAATTTGCTTGACATTATTTTTGATCAATTCATCACATGCTTTACAGGAGGAAGGTTCATGCCAAGCTTGTGGAGAAGATGAAAATCTTTTGAGCTGCAAAACATGTACTTATTCATACCATCCAAAGTGTTTGCTGCCGCCTCTGAGAAGTCCTTTTCCTAGCAGCTGGAAATGTTCACAATGTGTACGTCTCTCCATATTCTTAGTTAGTGAAAGATCATGGAAAATTAAGGTTTTAGTCTCATCATCTTGATTTTTACAGGTTGGACATCTCAATGACCTTGAAAAGATTCTCGACTGTGAGATGCGTCCACGTGCTGCAAATGATAGTGATGTGACCACGCTGGAATTAAATCTCATTAAACATTATTTACTCAAGTGGAAAGGACTGTCCTACCTCCACTGCTCATGGTAGATTCTTCGCTTGGTCCTTTAATTTTTTTCCCTTTGAAAAACAGTTTGCTTCCAATAAAAGATAAGTCTTAGTGTCATTATCTCCAATATCCAAGTATTTCACCACCAGCAGCTTTGAGCTGTCTATTATTTAGTGGAATCCATTATATTAATGTCTTACCTTTTTCTTTTATATAGAACTGTCACGTTACATCAAACATTACCACTGAAGAAATGATATCTGATGTCATTAATATGTTCAAAGAAGCTTCTTCTAAATACTGTTTTAGGGTACCTGAGACAGAATTTGTCAAGGCATACAAGTCGAATCCCCGTTTAAGAACAAAAGTGAACAACTTCCACAGACAAGCTTCTTCATCAGCCAACGGCGAGGATGATTATGTTGCTATCAGACCAGATTGGACGACGGTTGACCGGATTATCGCTTGCAGGTTTCAAAAATCCTTTTTGCTTGAATTTCAGTTTCGTAGCATCAAAGTACTGACATCTTCAGTCCTGAAGTTATTAGTATATGAATCTCTTTTGGGAGGTGGCTTTTATTGACAGTTTCAGTCAACTAAGAATAATCTGGCACTGATTGTATTTTCAGTATTTAACTGCTTACCGGCCCAACTAATATTGGTTAAGGGCGTTTTCTGGAAACTGCTATTAAGTAGCAAGTACACATCCGTTTTCTTTAACAATTTAAATTATCATACATTTGTAAGGAAAGGGATAGTACACAATACTTCCAACTAGCTATTAAACATCCGATTATTGAGTGAATCTTTGCTTTCCTCAGCCAATGTGGTCCCATAGTTGGGGTAACATGCAATTGAATAAAAGCCTTTATTCTGGCAGACAGGTTATAAGCTAACCTCTGGTAAACTATGTTTGGTGGCATGTTTGGCATCAAAGGAAGTTCTAGATGGTAAATCTGCATGCATCATTCTCTCCAAGTTTGATAGGGTTTATGCTTCTACTTAATTGGTTATAAATGTTTAAGTTGTATACTTCCATATTATAATGTCATGTGCTGTAAAACTGTGCTGAATATTAGGGAAGTTGATGAAGGAAGAGAATATTATGTAAAATGGAAGGAACTTCCATATGATGAATGCTCCTGGGAGTTTGAATCGAGCATTGCATCGTTCCACAAAGAAATTGAAAAGTTCAACAAAATGCAGTCTAAAGGTGACAAGGTATCTACAGTGAAACAAAAGAGCAATCTTCGTGATTCCATTGACTTGAAGAAAAAACAGAAAGCATTTCAACAATATGAAAAGAGCCCTGAGTTTCTATCTGGAGGTACACAATGCCCTTTGATTGTGTTATGTCTGGTAGATCTTTATCATAATCACTGTTATCCGACTCTTCTAATATCTGATCAAAATTAAGGTTCATTGCATCCATATCAGCTTGAAGGGTTGAATTTCTTACGTTTTTCTTGGTCCAAGCCGACACATGTGATACTTGCGGATGAGATGGGTCTTGGTAGGCTTTGTTTGCCTCAATTTGGGTTTAATTCAATTGTGCTCTTTCCCATCCTTTTTCTTTATAAAGCAGAATTCAACTGTTAGTTTTTTATAAATTCTCCTGGGTGCAGGCAAAACAATACAGAGCATTGCCTTTTTAGCATCCCTCTTTGAGGACAGTTTGTATCCTCATCTTGTGGTAGCTCCTCTATCAACATTGAGGAACTGGGAACGCGAATTTTCCACATGGGCTCCTCAAATGAATGTTGTAAGCATGCATGGTGTTTCCAGTCAAGTTCAGGGTTTGACTAACCCTAATGTTTATTTGGATTCGACGACCTTGTAATCTGCAACACAACTTGATAAAGAGTCAACTCCCACAGGTGATGTATGTTGGCACTGCCCAAGCACGGGCGATAATCCGAGATTATGAATTTTTCTATCGCAAAAGTCACAAGAAGAGCAAGAAACAGAAATCTGGCAAAACAATCAGTGAAAGCAAACAAGATAGGATAAAATTTGATGTCCTTTTGACATCTTATGAGATGATCAACATGGACTCATCATCATTGAAACCCATAAAGTGGGAGTGCATGGTGAACTTTCATTCTTCAGAGTGCTGACAGTTTTTTGTGTCTATTCATATTTTCTCCTAAGTTTATTCCAACACCTCTCTGTAGATTGTCGATGAAGGCCATCGTCTTAAAAACAAAGATTCAAAGCTGTTTTCTTCTTTGAAACAGTATTCTAGCCGACATCGTGTCCTCTTGACTGGAACCCCTCTTCAGGTATGTTGATTGGTCATAGTAGCCCTGGAGCTCTAATGTTGTTTATGCACCCAACCATTATTCTATGAGGAAATGAAAAGGTTTTATTGCTTTGCAGAACAACTTGGACGAACTTTTCATGCTTATGCATTTTCTTGATGCTGGGAAGGTTAGTAACTTGTATCTCTATCATTTTTATCATTTGTGAAATGGTGTGGCTATAAGCAAAATTTCAATGCCATCTCTCTTTCTCTCTCAGTTTGGAAGTTTAGAAGATTTCCAGGAGGAGTTCAAGGATATTAATCAAGAGGAACAGATTATGAGGCTTCATAAGATTTTGGCTCCTCATCTGCTGAGGAGTATGACCCGAAATTGGATATTATTTGTGTGCTATCTGATTTTTGTTTTATTTAGTGTTTCTTGCTAAGACGTTAGTAGCACGCTGCAGGCAGCCTTATATGCGTTTGCTATTCCTTGCGAAGTAGTATCATTTAGTTGAAATGATGCATGATATGTGCTCTAAGAGACATTTTCCAGCACCTTAGGCTAAAAGTAGCACTGAGAATTAATATGTGGATACATCTATGGACCATAATTGGATGTTCCTCTCAGAGATCCGATTGCAGATAATTTGAGCTAGTTTCACATACAAACAGACCTAACATTCACAGTATCTCCCATTTGTCTGATGTCTCTGTTTTTATTGGCTAAGTTCGCATGTATCCAGATCAGTGGTCAATAATATTTGCGGGAGACCATTGGATGAGTTTATGATGTTTGAGGCTTTATTATCTCCATCAGATTTTTCTTACTATATGTCACATCAGTGTTGTTGCTGTATTGCTGTGAACAGTCTATCACTTTGAATTGCAGGGGTGAAGAAAGACGTCATGAAAGAATTACCTCCTAAAAAAGAACTAATTTTGCGTGTTGAGCTGAGCAGCTTGCAAAAAGAGTATTACAAAGCTATATTGACTCGTAATTATCAGATACTAACTCGCAAGGGTGGTGCCCAGGTGAGTGGGCACTTGACATATATGCCGTTTCTTGCTATACTATATTTCATTTCAATCAACTTTCTGTGAGAGGATAGTCACTAAACTTTTTAATACTAGGTTTCTCTTATTAATGTGGTCATGGAACTCCGCAAGCTCTGCTGTCATCCTTTTATGTTGGAAGGAGTTGAGCCAGAAGATCCTAATGAGTTTAACAAGTAGTATATGCATTTTCCTTCAATTTTTATAGTTAGCTTGATGGTTTAAAAATGCAACAGAACTGGTAACTGCATGGAATTGTTTTATAGAATAGTGGGTATCCTTCATTTATTTATTTATATGTTGAGTACCTTTTCTCTTGTTCTTGTTGAATACTGAACCTTCTTGTTATTTCATGTTTGATTATGTAGTTTTTCTGTTCAGACTTTGTTCTGCTCACAATGATATGCATTGCAGGCAATTCATAGAAGCTTCGGGAAAGTTACAACTTTTGGACAAGATGATGGTTAAACTTAAAGAGCAGGGCCACCGAGTTCTACTATATTCTCAATTTCAGCATATGTTGGACATATTAGAAGATTACTGTGATTATAGGGTATGAATTTATGACACGATATATCTCATTTACCTCTATACAAAGAAGGGGATATCAGTATCTTGTTTAATGGACTGATTTTCTACATTTTCTCAGAAATGGCAATACGAAAGAATTGATGGAAAAGTAGGTGGAGCAGAAAGGCAAATTCGAATAGACAGGTTTAATGCCAAGAATTCATCAAGGTTTTGTTTTCTGCTATCCACTAGAGCTGGAGGCATTGGAATAAACCTCGCTACTGCAGACACAGTAATTATATACGACAGGTTAATGCTTATATTTCAGTATTGCATTATCTTCAAATTGTAGCATGATTTGAGCATTGTGGCACAAAAAGCATTTGATAGTTGATGTATGCTTAGATCTTCATATGCCAGAGTATGTATTTGGACCCTGCCAAAGCTTTAACCTTTTGTTATTTAATCTTTTGGATGTAGAAAACTAATTAGAGCTGTTATTGGAAATATTGTGGTTGCTATATTTTTTTCCTTATTTTTCATGGACTTAGTACTCTATAGCTAGACCAAGAGCTCCTAATTCTATGTTTTACCTATGCCCTTTTGTTTTGGTGAAGTACAGGTATTATTTCTTCAATGCTTCCTGCTATAGGATACTATTTTAACCGACCAAGGTTGGAGAGTATTGCCGAATGAGTATCTTCCTAAGAGTATATGAACGAGCAAATACTTCTAACACTACCATAGTTTGTAGAGTTACTTGTCCATAATTGGTTAGGAATAGTTTGAATGGGCACTTGTAGGTGCTGTAATTTGACTGATGAAATTGGTTTAAGATATTTTGGTTTATCTGTGTATATTTGTAGTACTTGGAAAAGAGAGTGCGAATACACTCGGTTATTATAGTTTTGCATGATTTTTCAAGATTGTGGTAGTTTTTCATGTCCGTGCGACCATAGATTCATACTGCTGGTTATCACAACTGCTATCTTGGATATCCTCTCATATTTCTGCAAATCTACCACCTCTCAAAATATTCTCAAATAAATTGTGTTTCCTTGACTCCTGCACTTTGGAATTGGTATTATTATTCAGTAATTGAGAATCTCGAATTTTGCAGTGACTGGAACCCCCATGCAGATCTCCAGGCAATGGCGAGAGCTCATCGCCTTGGTCAAACCAATAAGGTTATATTCGTCATGGATCATGTCGTTGAAGCCTCCTCATGTTAATTGTTTGCTTAGCTATGATTGTCTTTTCTCTGTTTGCAGGTAATGATCTACAGGCTCATAACACGAGGAACTATTGAAGAAAGAATGATGCAGATGACTAAAAAGAAAATGATTTTGGAGCATCTAGTTGTTGGGAAGCTCAAAACACAAAATATTAATCAGGTAAGAAAAAAAAATCAGTGTGGTATGTGTCATCAACAGTTGCATGATAGCCATAGAAAAAGATTAGAGCTGATAGTTGATGTAATTGGAAGTACATCTTGCCATTGAGTCGTTTTGTTTATTCTATCCTGCCCCTTTCTTGAACAAGTCAGCATTTTATGGTAAAATGCAACAGAAATGCCAATAATGCGACCCTAATGAGTTATATCTTTTCTTTTTGTCAAATTAATAGTAAGAATCTTTTTATGGTGACTGAGAGACATGGATTTCTGGATATCCATAAACAAGCATATTATCCATTATAGAATGTGGTTTATTATATTTGCAATTCACAATTCATTATGTGTTTTCTCCTTTCTGAATTCAAAACCATTAATTGTTTCCAAATACAAAAGCCTTTTTTGGTCTTGTGCAGTTCCTTGAGTTTTATACTAAAAATGATTAGGTTGGAAAAAAAGGAAGAGTATTTAACTTGGTATACTTTGTTATTGATACAACTAGCACTATAATCATCAAATTTTAAAGTTTCATGAACAACTAAAAATCTATATCTCCAAAAATATCTAAAGGAGGAATAGTTAGTTCTCAGCTAAAATAGAACAGCACTCTTGAAAAATACTATCTATAAGTTTTGACTCCCTTGGATCCATCTTGATGGCCCCCTTTCTCATTTTCCGACATTAAGAAAATATATTTAATTAGCATTGTAAAATTCATATGTTGACTACCATGAAATTGGGTAAATTAACTCTTTGAATAGGGGGAGTGACAAGTAAAAATAATTACACATATTTTGAACTAACAGAACTACAGGTTTTTGTTGAAAATATGGGTTTATGGGCTATAAAACATAGACGTGTAGTTCTGTAACAATCAATTCCTGTGAAATTAGAACAAGGAACATATTATTCAGTTTCATAGTTTTGGAAAACTATATCTAACAAATGTTATTGACATGGACAATTCTTGTAATTGTTCTTATTAGCATTATCTGTATTAGATTGTGATAGGATTTTTTTCCTTCGCAATTAAGAACGCAAATTAAAATGGGGAGGGATTGGCCTAAGAAAACTTGGAACGGGACAATAAAAAGTGATTCAAAATATTTAAATTTGAATGAGAATATATGCTTTGATGGAGCACGATGGCGACATGTGATCCATATAGCCGACAACCCCACTTAGTGGGATTTTAAAGGCTGCTTGTTGATTGATTGATTGATTGAATCTCATTCACCTAATTATATTTTTGCCCTGCCGGTTGCTTTCTCCAATTTATTTTCTAGTGATCTATATGTGTCATTTGCTTGGAAAATCTTTATCTTTATGTAATAATTCATACTGCTTAAGCAATCTCCATTTTACATTTAGGAAATCTTCTAATGCAAAGTGCATTTAATAGAAACGACTGGTTCCAGATGTCAGCATTTCGTAAAAAACCATAATAGCATGTGACGTAACGCCTGGTAATTTAGCTATAAAAGCCGATAGGGTTCCTTGTTCATTCTAGGGTTGCAAATTCTGATATATCACGCCGCCACAAGGTGGTGATCCCCTGGTTTTGCAACTGATATCTTTGTTGTATCTTAGCTGATATTTGTTGTTATATTCTCTGTTGTATGCAAAGAGGTGAATACCTGTATACTTTCTGTTTGAAGTTTCTCCTGCTGACCTGAGATATTTTGATTTGGATGCAGGAAGAACTAGATGACATCATACGGTATGGATCGCAGGAATTGTTTGCTGATGACAACAATGAATTGGTAAAATCTCGTCAAATTCAGTACGATAATACTGCAATTGATAGGTAAAAATGAATTTTATATTGTTCAATTGGATATTGTTCGTCTTGTTGTTGTGAACTTTGATTATTTTATTATGTAGATTGCTTAATCGCGAACAAATTGGAGATGAAGAGGCTTCATTGGAAGATGAAGAGGAGGATGAATTTTTGAAAGCTTTTAAGGTTCACAATTTACCTGAATTTTTCAGTATGTTTTTATGAATATTGGATTAGAGCAATTTCTCAGTTATTTCGTCCCTTTTAAATACTCAAATTAAATTCTGTCAAATTATTTGTCTGTTTCAAATCAAATTTCCAATGTAAATCACAACCCACATTTTTGAGTAATGTTTCATGTGTATAATACCACCTGGTGTAGCTGGAGGCTCACTGCTGTTCGGTAATAATTAGTTTCTTGAAAGTATCAATCAATTTATTTGTTGGAGAGATGTTTACATTATTGTTTGCATAACACATATAGTTCAGAATTGCATTTATCCAAAAAAATTTGAAAATGATATGGCACATAGTTGGATCTATTTTGCTATTAATGTGAAGTTGTCTGTACAAGAGATGGAATAGCGAATATGTATTAAATGACGTTCAGTGAACTTCAACTTTGTTAATATAATGCAAAATACTTAGGTGAGGGTTTTGTGCATCATAACTCTTTAATTTTTTTCAATTGGTGGCTTCTTCGAATGTTTATGACGTTTTAAAATCTCGGTCTCTCTCTGTATTTGTTTCTGCCTGTTTGTCCGACTGTCTCTGTATGTCTTTCTTTGTTGTTTATCAATATGCCCCTATCTTCCTCATTTTCTAGAGGAAACTAATGTTTATCGAATGCCTCAGGTAGCTAACTTTGAGTATGTGGAAGAAGGATTGGCAGAGGACACACCTGTAACACCAGAAGAAAATAAAACATCAGTAAACAATTCTGAAAGAGCAAGCTACTGGGAAGACCTATTACGAGATAAGTACGAAGTGCATAAGGTTGAAGAATTTAGTGCTATGGGCAAGGGAAAGAGAAGCCGCAAACAGGTATCCTCACAAATATTGTAGGTTCTTATAAACCGTTGTTTCCTGAAGTTCACTCAAGTTCCTTATCGATTTGACTAGTTCATAAATATGTATTGTACCAAGCATATGATAGTAATCAATTCACAACTTTGATGTGGTTAGAAACAAGATATTGTTTTTGTAATCTGAAGTTAACTCAATGTCTTTCACTCTGCAATCCCAGTGTGATTCCGTCATCAATGAAACAACCAACAAAATTATCCCATGGTTAGAGCGCCAGTTGAATACGGAATGATCAGATTTACAGCACACTAAAACCAATTTTCCTTATGATTTGACTGAATCTGTAGAACCATGCTTGGGGACTGTGCTTCAACACATAGAAGGGTTTACGAAGGCAATAGGTTTAACTGTCGTATCTCAATTGGCCATGCTTTCTACAGGAGATGTAGAAGAGAAAGAATTGCTAAATAAAACAATATCAGAGAGAAAAAAAAAATAAAAAGAAAAGGAAACAATAAGAGGGGATTAGGTCACTGAGTTAGCTTGAGTTCAGGATATTTCCAGTATTTAAAGTTGAATATGACTTAACTAGGGTATCGTTATAGTGCGTATAATGTTCATAGAAAATTTTTGTGCTTGATGAGATGAAGAGACTGTTTATGTTGATTTAGATAGACTTGCAAGTGAGGACCTGCTGAGTTTTGTCGAGGAACTTAGCCTGACTATATTACATGTGGATTTTTTATTCTATTCCTTTGCTTTTTTTGTGTGTTCTTGGAAATGTAAGACTGGCTGGTGATGGTGACTCCAAATATTGTTGATGAAGCTCATACAACAACAACAAGCAGTTAAAAATCCCACTAAGTAGGGTCGGCTATATGGATCACATGTCGCCATCATGCTTGATCAAATCACATTTGCACGATTTCTTATGTTATCCATAATCAGGAGTGGCAAAGTTTTACGCTGGTCACCAACCTAACGCAACCCTTCTCCTTTACACTGGCTTGGGACAGTCAACTATAAACTCTTAGAGAGTTTGCTGAGCTATTATTTTCTTTCGAACTGAAGTTGAGAATGGATTCGCCTCAAAATGGTCCAAAATGATACTGATGGCAGCATTTCTGCTGCTTCCCGTAGATTCTTCTAGTTATAACTGCATCCAGATTTAGGATGTTGCATATTTTGTTAGAATGGAAGTGCCAATTCTGAAGGCAGTGGAACTGTAAATGGACATGTTCTGTTTGCTTTTTGTCTCTCGTCCTTGTGTGATGCTTGATTGTTCCTGAGAACTGGCTTCTGGCCTGAAATGGCTTCACCATGGGTTTGCTTAATTGAAGTTTGGTTTTGGTATACTTTGTTTCTTATGAAAGTTATGGTGTCATTTCTCTGCACGCTGAATACTTGAACACATCTCTATCATATGCTTAGTAGAACCACTCTCCCCTGCACTTCGGTCAATGACAGTGTTCCAATTATTCAAAGCACGTTATCTTTGTTTTTGCACTTCTTCCTTTGGTGAATAAAGTTGATATGCAGGTGGTGTCTGTCGAAGAAGATGATCTTTCTGAGTTGGAAGATATGTGTACAGATGGGGAAGATGATTACTATGAAGCTGAGTTAACTGATACCGAGGTTGCTTCAACTGGAGCTGCATCTACCAGGAGATCCTGCAGAGAAAGAACTCGTGGTATGAATGAAATGTATATTATTCATCAGTTTATCGGATGAAAGAAATGATGCCATCTAATTGTTTCCTGCTGTTCGATGGTTACAAGCAGATGCTTTAGAAAAACATCCTTTGATGGACGGTGAAGGGAAACATTTGCGAGTGTTGGGGTTTAATCATGCACAGAGAGCTATGTTCTATAAGATTATTATGAGGTTCTTCATTTCTTTATTTTTCTACCTAACCAAGTTGTCTTATTTAATTTCGGATCTTGTTTCCTTTCTTCTTGCTCGTTTTTAACCTCCAGACAAATGCAGATTATAAAACTTTCTGAGAGTAATTGCAGTATTTTGGACTTTTTGATAGGTTTGGAGCGACGACAGATGGTTGGGAAGACTTTGAGAAACGCCTAAAGCAGAAGACTCCTGAGGAAATTGAAGCGTATGTTACTGATTTCTGCTCTATTCTGATAATCTATATTCATTTTTCAGAAATTCTAGTTAATCAATATCTCGGTTATAGTTGCTACACTCATTCAGGAATCTTTAAACTTGCACTAGTCATTAATGTATATTTACAACGTCAAAGATATTGCTATCTAGAAACCACACATTCAGGTCACGTGTGGCTGTGTTCAGGTCAACAGTTAACTGGCCCTTGGCCACTGGCCTGTTCTCGATCTTAACCACAGTTATTGTTTCATCTGGTCACACCTGTGATTGCGATGTTTCAACTATGGTTTAAGATGGATACATGTATATACTGTTTGTAATGATATATAAATGTGAACCATGATTACTGAGAAAGCACAGTTTTAAATGAATGGCAGATATTTGATACCAAAGTTACTGATTCCCGGGAAGTTTTGTTAAGTATTTTCAGATTGGAGTTAAGGATTTTTCACACTTGTGCCGGGCATTTTGTGCCTCTCCAAACGCTTGGTTCCTTCAAGCGTTATCATTTCTGTTTGGTTCTTTATTTTCTTTCTTTTCTTAATTTTTGAAAATTTGATTTGTGGAAATGTCACAGAAGTTTCTGCTCATATACTAATTTGATCACACATTCTCTGCCGTCAGAAAAGAGAAGTCTTCAATATGACCTCTTTTTTTTTGTTTTAATTTGTGCATTGATAGACCTTTGTGATTTGCAAAATTGAGAAGGTTCAGTTTAATCCGGCGTGAAATGCTTCATTAAGCAGGCAAAAATAGTCTGACTGCTTTATGCAGTTAGTAGTTTATGTGCTCATAGGTAATATGATTTTGTTATGCAGGTACGGGATGCTTTTCGTGAGGCACTTAGCCGAAGGAGAAAATGATTCAATCATGTTTGCAGGCAATTAAATTACCTGTTCCGTTTACTAATTTCATCTGCGAGTTTCTTGATTTGGATCCTTGTTACTGTTACATAGTTTTTTGTTGGTTGCAGATGGTGTGCCCAAGGAAGGACTAAAAGTAGATGATGTAATTTGCAGGTTGGGAACATTAGGGGTGATGAGGAACAAAGTAAGGTTTTATGTTTACTGGGAAGAAATCGAATTTCATCACTTATGATTTGCTAATCAAGAGACAGTTTCCAGGGTTCCTATGATAGTTCTAGTTTTGACTTGTGTTCTGTCTGATATGATGGAAAAACTTTGATCAACTGCTTGAACTTGTGAATGCTCAGTGCTGATAGGATTCATGTCACCTAGTTGATTCTTTAATAAGATATTTACTGAGCAGATTATCATGAGTCTTCTCTATTTTTGAGTAGGTTTACAATTGGGTTTTTTTTTTCCTTTTTCCGAAGGCCAACGAGAAAATTATGGAACGTGTGGACTGACATTATTCTATTCTTCTTACTTATTTAGTAACTTCAGTTTTGATCATCTTGTCCTGTAATAATGGGCAGATATATTTATGTTTATTTCTTGCATTTTCTTGTTTTCACAAACTTTTAGGTGTCTCATACATTTAAGATAAAATTGTCGTATCCTATCATTTACATTGAGTGTATCATGTTTCATAGTTGCCAAATATTTAGTGCGAGTTCCAGCTTTCTCGTCAGATTCAAGTTTTGTTTGACAGAACATTGTTTGGCTGCAGTTGGAGGCTTTATCAAAAGGTTCAGTCTTTTTCACGGATGATATTTTATCCTGCTACCCAAGACTGAAAGGAGGAAGGTTTTGGAAGCAGCACCATGATCAGGTGTTGATGCAAGCAGTAATGAAGTATGCCATCTTTCCCTTTCTTTAGCTCTTCTCACTGATCTGAAGTTTTAAGACCAAGGACAAATGAAAGATAATGAACTGTATGGAGTCAGTCATGTGTATTATTTTAAAGTTCAATGATTATTGTGAAATTCTCTCCCTTGGACAAAAAAAAAAAGAAAAGGAAAGAAAAAATCGGTCTGTCCTAAAAATGTCAAAACTGTTGCCTGAAAATGCTAAGGTTGTTTTATGTGTTTTCAGCTAACGATTTCCTCTTCAGACTATTAATATAAATCGAATCATTCATGTCAGACCAAGTAACACATAAATCTCAGACTTTTTATGTATGAACCCTCCACTACCACTACTACCTCCTCAACCCATTGCTATTTCTATTATTATATTTATATAATGTCAAAACCATCTTATTAATATCGTATAATTCTATTCAGACTAAAATATCAAAACTGGAATACCACTAGCAACTTTCAAATTATTATTTACATAGAAGACTCCTTTCCATTAACTTATCCAAACATAACGTTGGCTTTCACATCGAAACCGGTGTCTTCTTGGGTAACATTTTCCAACACTGGAAATTAGATATGGAACCATGACTAAACAAACTTTTCTCAGTTTATTTCTTGCAAATGTGGACATCCTGTGTATAATATTCTTGCAGGTTAAATATTGTGATTTAGGCATAAAAGTATAAGTTCGCCTTTTAAATTCTGCTTACTCATGCTTTTTCACTGTATGAACATCAAGACATGGGTTTCGAAGATGGCAAGCAATTGTTGAGGACAAGGAATTGAAAATAAAAGAAGTGATCTGTCAAGAGCTGAATCTTCCTTCTGCTTCAGTAACTTCTCAAGCACAATCTCAGGCTCAAGCCTCTTCTTCTGGTACTTCTAAACCGCATGTTCCAACTTCTGCTTCTTCTGAATCACAAAATGGTATCAAATTGGAACGTGCTGAAGCTCCTGGGATGGAAACTATTGATGTTGGAGCAGATGCACATAAAGGAGCCACTAATAGAAGACTGGTTGATTTTATCAAAAAAAGGTTGCTACTTGTAGAGCAGGGATTACTTGCAGAATTCGAGAAGACATTACCTGTAGCTGTAAGTCCCTTTCAGATTTGCAGTAAGGTGTTAGTTGCAATATTAGAAATGGGAATATAGCATCCTTTATATACTCCTATACCAGATTTTTGTTCGAGTTTTGTAGGATGTATGTGTTACTTGATTCCTAATTTGATCCTACTACAAGTCAACAGTTAACTTGGAGGACTACATATTAAGTTATTTGGACAAGTTTATATTTTTCAGGATATTGATAGCGAAGACGACGTTCCAGACAATGATATAGGGCACAAGGTCACAGATTCAAAACATTCGAGTTCTGTGGCATCAGATCCCCCAACAGTTGTGCAGTTGCCTCAAGTTGAAACAATCTGTAAGTATCTTTACATGTTTCCTATGATTGGGAAAAAATCAATAACTATACAGTTACATCAGTTAATTGTGGCAAAAAATGATTTTTTCTTTTTTGAGTCTTGGTGGTACAGTTTGCTTGTAAAGCCAGGGTTAATGTTAATTTCCATTTTGTGGCTAGTAGATCAAGATTGGCAGTCATTTGGGGATTTTGTTGACAATAAAAGAATCTAATCAAAATAGTATAATAACTGATTTTGAAATAACTGAATACATTATGATTTGATGACTCGTGTTTCCATCTCTTGGGAATCCCAATACGCATTATACTAAGGAAGGAAGTCACCGTATGTATCTTGAATACAATGTCAATGATGTTCTGTTACTTGTTTTAGAACGAATCATACTATGCAACCCATTTATACCATTTACTTTCCCTAAGCAGCTCCTGGAGAATCATCGTCAAATGGAGCAACTTTTAATGTCGAGATGAAGGATAGCTCCTCCACCTTTCCCTGAGGTCATCATCACCACCATGGACTAGCCGTTTTTCTATTTATTTTCATCAGAAGAATGCTCTTTTCAACAAAACTACAGATCTTGGTTTTTACTTTTATTTGAAGGTTGCATTTTGGGAAATCCGAAATGCGATTGTTGGGTAAACTACATATCTTGGTTTATGTGTGTTTTTTTTCTGTGTGAGGGATTTGTATATTTCCCTGTTGTGTTGACATAAGTTTGAACCTATCCCAGTTGACTAACTGTGGGTAACTACATATCTTGGTTTGTGCTGTGTTTTTTCTGTGTGAGGGATCGTATATTTCCCTGTTGTGTTGACAGAATCCAAATATTGATAGTAATTCTGAAACCCGTTTCTTGTTTTAACTCCACTGTTATGGGTAATTTTTCTCAATATTTTATCCTCTTAACAAGTGTTTGGAGGTGATGACTATTTTAATATTTATTTTGCTTCTTTTTTATGCTGATAAATGCATGACGGGGATTGAAAAATGGTGTTTCATACCATTAACTTTTATCGTTCTACATTTTCCTAACTATTTTTATTTTCCTAATGGTTTTGAATTTTTTTTTTTAAAAAAAAAATTATGGACATTCAAAATTGAACGATGTATAAATAATTCATAAATGAATAATAAATTAAAAATTAATACAATTTAAAAATTAGAAACAAAAATATACCATAAATCAATCATTCCTAAATCATGATAATTGGTATAATTGTTATTTAAAATAAAAACTTTGTACAAATAAGAACAATAAGAAATTTTATAAGCAGATCAAATCATTTTCTCCTGTTTTTTTCTTTTGGGAAACAGCTATTGCTATTGGACTAAAATTGCATTATTTCCATGATGAAAGTATATCTGTTCTTAATTCTTATTTTCACCTTTGGAACTAGAGCTTAGAATAGAATGGTTAACTACATTTCATTTACACGATTTATCACTGTCATGCCTATGTTCTCAAGAAAAAGGAAACAAAACCGAAAAAAAAAAGTATATGAATAAGATTTTTGCAGCATATGTACATAAATTAACACCAATGTCCACTTTGGTCCATAGCAAAGATATATACCAAATGATAGATACATTCACCAAACCACCATTGATGAATGATAGAGTTCTCATCTGATGGGAATAAAGAAACCAACCGTACCATATCACGCTCACCTGTTCACCCTGTACGACACAATTATAAATTTCTTTGAATACCCAAAAAAGAAATAATAAAAAAAAAAAAAAACTAAGCACATAACATGAAGATAAAATAAATACCTAATTCATTCGAATTTCGGGCAGCTAGCTTGTCCTTGTCCATGTCCCGAGCTGTTATTTTGAAGCACATGCAACGAAATGGAACCAACAGTCGAAGGGTCTTTAGGAAACTCCTGACGAATAATATTTTGACACGTCGTTATGAAGCTGTAACCCGTGCTGTGGTTATTCGGATCACGAGTAGCTGGCACTGGCAGCACCAAATCATGTTGACTCGAATTATCAATCGAGCCGAGAGAAGGAAGTTCATAAAGAAGCCGATCATCACTAAATGAAATGCTGCTCGACGAAAAATATAAGTTGTTAGCTATAAAGAAAAAGGAACCACTACAGAACACTTGTTATCATTATTATTATTATTATTATTATTATTTACCATACCTCCAATCAGTGTAACTAGCAAATGGATCATACACTGTTATCGGCATTGACATTCCATGAACCCATACTCGTCGATTATCATTCTCTTGATGATGATGATTGGCCATTGAAGAAGTTGGACAAGGTACAACACATTGTCGTTTTCCACTCTTAATCATGTGTTGATTATCATAATTATTATTATAAGCAATGTTAAATGATGGCACGTCTGACGATAATGGTGCGTTGTTTGCTTGTTGTGGGCCTGCGGCCTCGTCTTTTGACCTTCTCAGATGCATTCTGTATTTCTGCCATTCACAAAACACCACCCAAATATATATATATACAAAAGAGAAAAATAAACAAAAAATATAAATAGAGATTGTATATTAAGCACTGAGATAAGAGATTTTGCCTGGAGATGGCTCGCAACATGTTCCCTCGAAATACCTTCTACATTCATAAGCTCCATGATCCGTTTCGGCACAGCTTCTACCACATATATGCAGATATTGACACGTCAAAATTTTATATACTCGGATAAAAAATAAATAAATAAGTAAATAAAATAGTAAATTTACTGTCGACTCCCAATTGATCAACGGCAGCAACAAATTTGCGGTGAAGCTCTTGCGACCAGACGACACGTGGCTTCTTCTGCTTCGACGACACCTCATCACGGGTGTGCCTTTTGTCATTATTCGGGTTTTCATTAAAACAAACACTATTATTATTGGAAGCTTCTTTCATCTCCACATGAGATTCACCCACAACATGATTAACAATCTTATTATTATCAACATTCTTATTCTTCTTCAACTTTTTCCTCACCACATGCTGCCATATATTCTTCAGCTCCTCGACTCTTACGGGTTTTACCAGATAATCACACGCGCCATTCATTATCCCCTTTAATACCCGTTCTTTACTATCATCCCACGACACCACTACACAAACACAAACACCAAAAAATAATCTAGTCAAGACTTTTAGTTTAATTAACAATAAGCCACATTTTTAGCTCTAATTCATGGCAAATAAGAAAAAAAGCTTAATTAAAATCCTTACATACGACCAGGATGTCCATTCGGAGGCTCACTTCCTTGAGTAGAACAAATCCATCCATGTCGGGCAAGTCGACTTCACTTATTACTAAGTCAATTCGACTGTTGTTATCGCGTAAAATTCCAAGTGCTGTGATTGCTCCCTCTGCTGTACTCACTGCCAAAAATTACACATATATATACATACATAAAAAGAAAAAGTGTAATTTTTTAACTTTCAATTATAGTCAAATCTGGAGGACATTTTACTTGACATGACTAACATCTAATAAAGAGTCCACAATGTAACTCAATATGATGCCATAATGATTAAGAAAAATAAAAATCTACGTTGAAAAAAAAAAAAAAAAAGTTGTGTTAAAAGTAACTTATTATAATATGAATAAGTATGGAAAAGAGAAAGGAAATTAAAACCATGGTATCGACACTGGCGAAGAAGGGCTTCCAAGATGAAGAGGCAAGTGGAGCTGCCGTCGACAAGTAGAACACGAATCATGGCTTCCTCATCCTCCATATCTATCTATATAATTATAATTATATGCAACTCACTAAAACATAATAATAATAATAATAATAATAATAATAATTAACAGCAATACAGAAGAGGAGACCGAAAAAGAAAAATAGTTGAGGAGAAGAGAGTGGAAAAGAACGGAGAATTAGGGTTGAAGAGGCTCGACTAACGGGAGAGGAAGTCACCTTCCTGTCAAATTCTGTGCCTAAGTTTATTTCTTCCAAGGAATCCTGAACTTCTTCTGCCTTGAGATCATCTAGCTATGCTGGTGTTCATCTCCAACTCAGGTAAACTCTATTTCGTCTTCCTTCTGTACTGACTCAGAATCCACCAAACCCACACTTCCTTCTTCCGCCTCAAACCGACGGCTAGAGTTATGCTGACGGGTAGAGTTATGCTGCCTGCATGATTCTCTCTCTCTCTCTCTCTCTCTCTCTCTCTCTCCTCTTTTTCTCTTCTATTTATTTATTAATGTAATCTCCAACAAATTCGGAGGTAACAACTTATAAAACATTTTTTATTTATTCATTCGTGTTTGGTTAAGTTGTTTTGAATAGATATTGAGTTTACACGGTAACGAACTCCAAATAATTTGTCCTGAATATCAGGGAAGTTGATGAATGAAGAAAATATTATGTAAAATGGAAGGAGCTTCCGTACGATGGAATCGAGCATTGCATCGTTCCACAAAGAAATTGAAAAGTTCACCAAAATGCAGTCTAAAGGTGACAAGGTATCTTCAGTGAAACAAAAGCTCTGCTGTCATCCTTTTATGTTGGAAGGAGTTGAGCTAGAAGATCCTCATGAGTTTAACAAGTAGTATATGCATTTTCCTTTGATTTTTTATAGTTAGCTTGATGGTTTAAAAATGCAACAGAACTGGTATCTGTCATGGAATTGTTTTATAGAATAGTGAATATCCTTTATTTATTTTTTTATACGCTGAGTACCTTCCTCTTGTTCTTGTTGAACACTGAACCTTCTTGTTATTTGATGTTTGATTATGTAGTTTTTCTGTTCAGACTTTGTTCTGCTCACAATGATATGCATCGCAGGCAATTCATAGAAGCTTCGGGAAAGTTTCAACCTTTGGCCAAGATGATGGTTAAACTTAAAGAGCAGGTCCACCGACTTCTGCTATATTCTCAATTTCAGCATATGTTGGACATATTAGAAGATTACTGGATTATAGGGTATGAATTTATGACTCGATATATCACATTTACCTCTATACAAAGAAGCGTATGTTACTGATTTCTGGTCTATTCTGATAATGGCATATGGCTGCTTTGCCTACTCCCAGCCACTTGATTATATGTATCTTAAACCACTTCCTAGGTGCATTTGAGTGTGTGATTGCGATGTTTCAACTAAGGTTTTAGACGATACATGTATATACTCTTTGTAATGACTAATGATACTTAAATGTGAACCATGATTACAGAGAAAGCACAAAGTTTTATTTTGTATTATCATATATAGACCTTTGTGATTTGCAAAATTGAGAAGGTTCAATTTAATACAGTGTGAAATGCTTAATTAAGCAGGCAAAAATAGTCTGACTGCTTTATGCAGTTAGTAGTTTATGTGCTCATAGGTAATACCAAAAGTGAACTGCTTTATGTGCTCATAGGTAATACAGTGTGAAATGCTTAATTAAGCAGGCAAAAAATAGTCTGACTGCTTTATGCAGTTAGTAGTTTATGTGCTCATAGGTAATACGATTTTGTTATGCTGGTACGGGATGCTTTTCGTGAGGCACTTAGCCGAAGGAGAAAATGATTCACTCACGTTTGCAGGAAATTAATTTACCTGTTCCGTTTACTAATTTCTTCTGTGAGTTTCTTGATTTGGATCCTTCTTACTGTTACATAGTTTTTGTTGGTTGCAGATGGTGTGCCCAAAGAAGGACTAAGAGTAGATGATGTACTTGCCAGGTTGGGAACATTATCAGTGATGAGGAACAAAGTAAGGTTTTATGTTACTGGGAAGAAATCGAATTTCATCACTTATTATTGCTAATCAAGAGACTGTTTCTATAATAGTTCTAGTTTTGACTTGTGTTTTGTCTGATATAATGGAAAAACTTTGATCAACTGCTTGAACTTGTAAATGTTCAGTGTGCTGATAGGATTCATGTCAGACCTAGTTGATTCTTTAATAAGATATTTTACTGAGCAGATTATCATGAGTCTTCTCTATTTTTGAGTAGGTTTACAATTATCTTTTTTTTTTCCCCTTTTGCCGAGGGCCAACGAGAAAATTATGGAATGTGGACTGACATGATTCCATTCTTCTCACTTCTTTAATAAATTCAATTTTGATCAACTTGTCCTGTAATAATGGGCAGATATATTTATGTTTATTTCTTGCATTTTCTTGTTTTCACAAACTTTTAGGTGTCTCACACATTTAAGTTAAATTGTCGTATCCTATCATTTACATAGAGTGTATCATGTTTCATAGTTGACAAATGTTTAGTGTGAGTTCCAGTTTTTTTGTCAGAATCAAGTTTTGTTTGACATAACATTGTTTGGTTGCAGTTGGAGGCTTTATCAAACGGTTCAGTCTTTTTCACGGATGATATTTTATCCTGCTACCCAGGACTGAAAGGAAGAAGGTTCTGGAAGCAGCACCATGATCAGGTGTTGCTGCAAGCAGTAATGAAGTATGCTATCTTTCCCTTTCTTTAGCTCTTCTCACTGATTTGAAGTTTTAAGACCAAGGACAAACGAATGATAATGAACTGTATGGAGTCAGTCAAGTGTATTTTAAAGGGTCAATGATTATTGTGAAATTCTCTCCCTTGACAAAAAAAAAATCGGTTCTGTCCTAAAAATGCCAAAACTGTAGCTTGAAAATGCGAAGGTCGTTTTATGTCTTTTAACGATTTCCACTTCAGATTATTAATATAAATCGAATCATTTTGTTTGTATTTTTTTTCCTTCTGCAAAATCACCATTTTCAATTTTTCAATCATTTCTCCATCAATCTCACCGCCTTTTTACGTATCAGCCTTCCACTGCACTACTACCCGCCTTAACCTATTGCTATTTCTATTACCATATTTAAATAATGTCAAAACCATCTTATTAATATCATATTATTATATTCAGATTAAAATACCAAAAGTGGACTACCAATAGCAACTTTCAAACTATTATTTACATAGGAGACCCCTTTTAATTTAACTTATCCAAACATAATGTTGGTTTTCACATGTAAACCAGTGTCTTCTTGGGTAACATTTTCCAACACTGGAAGTTAGATATGGATAGAACCATGACTAAACAAACTTTCCTCAGTTTATTTCTTGCAAATATGGACATCCTGTTTATAATATTCTTGCAGGTTAAATCTTGTGATTTAGGCAGTTTTCCTTTTATATAAGAACATCTCGTTTTCTAAATTCTGCATGCTCATGCGTTTTCGCTGTATGAACATCAAGACATGGTTTTGGAAGATGGCAAGCAATTGTTGATGACCGGGATTTGAAAATACAAGAAGTGATCTGTCAAGAGCTGAATCTTAACTTCTGCTTCAGTAACTTCTCAAGCACAATCTCAGGCTCAAGCCTCTTTTCTGGTATTTCTAAACCGCATGTTCCTATTTCTGCTTCTTCGAATCACAAAATGGTGTCAACTTGGAACGTGTTGAAGCTCGTGGAATGGAAACTACTGATGTTGGAGCAGATGCACATAAAGGATCCACTAATAGAAGACGATTGATTTATTCAAAAGAAGGTTGCTACTTTTAGAGCAAGGAATGCTTACAGAATTCGAGAAGACGTTATCTGTAAGTCCGTTTCAGATTTCCAGTATGGTGGTATTTGCAATATTGGAAAGGGGAATATAGTATCCTTAACATACTTTTATACTAGATTTTTGTAGGAGTTTTGTAGGATGTATTTGTTACTTGATTCCTAATTTGATCCTACTATAAGTCGGCAGTTAACTTGGAGGACCACATATTAAGTTATTTGAACAAGTTGATTTTTTGCAGGACTTTGAAAGCGATGACGACGTTCCAAACAATGATATCGGGCACAAGGTCACAGATGTAAAACATTCGAGTTCTGTGGCATCAGATCCCCTAACGGTTGTGCAGTTGCCTCAAGTTGAAACAATTTGTAAGTATCTTTACATGTTTGCTATGATTGGGTGGAAATCAATAACTATATAGTTACATCAGGTAACTGTGGCAAAAAAGTTTTAAGTTT